GTGGAATCAAATTTCTTCTAGTCCCCTCAATATCTCTATGCCGGTCACCTCTTTATATTCCTCCATGCAGCCCCTTAAATCATTTATCTCCTTTTCGTTGGCAAAAGTTGATTCACTTTCGAGATAACTCCACCTTCATTTCCACTCTGCATTCTTTTCTAAGTCCCCCGAGCACACCTAGATGTTTCTTCCTCCGTGCCAGCCAGCCTGTCATCTTGCATTTGTCTTCATTACAACAAGGATTCCTTCACATTCGATTTGCTACTTTGTCTGACAGCTTCTCGGCCAATCTGCAAGTTCCTCGGAGGCAGGAACCATTTTCTATTTATTGTTATACACCCAGAGCATAGAGTAACACTTTTCCCCTGCGAGCTGACATTTTCACCTTCATTAATATCTCTGTTGCCTACCACTTGAGGGTTATTTTTCCTCCTTCGGCATTTAGCTGAAATGCATTTTCTCATTAAAAAAAATCCCCTGATTGGACTCACTTCACTGTAATTACTCATTCATTTTTATTATGTCCTCGGTGTGTGCGTTCAAATGGTTTAGATTATATTCTTAATTCTAGCTCAACCACCTTATGTATTTAAGGATCACTTTTGAAACCATGATTGCAGAGCTCTTAAAAATTAATTTCCTTTAAAATATCCATTTTTTTTCCACTCAAAGAAATGGTTAGACTCCTGTTAAACATACTTTTGCCCACCCTAAACCAAGCACCCAAGTAACAGAAACAGAAATGAAGAACAAAAAGCCACCTAAACTTTCAAGAACAAAGAGAAGATATTCAAAAATAATTGGAGCTAAGAACTGGTAAGAGACATAAAGCTTAAATTTCTCGATGTAAGGGAGGCTCCCCTCCCGCGCCACCCAGAGGCTGTCTCTTCATCGCTTTTGTTTCTTCCTCGTGGACAGGGCAGTGATGTCCAGCCCTACAAAAGGCTTGAGAAGAGCCAGATGGTATCAACTTGCCCACAGAGCTTCTGAGGTGGATTAGCCCTTGTAGTGTTGCAGTTTGGGAGAGGAATAAAAGAGAATGGCAGCCAAAATATTCAGCAAAGTGTTGTTTGTTTGTTTGTGTAATGTGCTCAGGGTCTGAAAGCTCTGAACAGAAGTAAACAAAGGGAGAGGGGATTCTGCTACCCTCATTTGTACTCCCTACACTGCACGCTGCTCTTCTTTTCTTGCTAGAGGCTCTGCTTTCCCTAGCCAGTCAATAAGTTCCTGGAGATCATCAGCCGCCTGTCACATGCTTCTTTTGTATTCTCTAAACCTTTCAGCACACCGAGTACATAGTGTATGCTCAAGAAACACTGTTGACGCACTGATTACTACGTAGTTAACTATTTTCCTTCCCTGGCAAATTTTCAGGAATGCCTATTATTCACAAAACCGTGGCGTCTTGGAAGCCAAAAGGAAGCAACCATCTGTTGGTATACATTTTTCCTTAGCTATGCGTTATACAGAGATTTCCTTTGGAAAAAATAAACAAAGGATGCTTGATGAGCCAGGACAAAGAACTAAATATAGAGTTCAAGTGGCCAGAGTATCAAGGTCAAAGCATGCCCTTCCTTAGCCAGATTAAAGGAGAGCTATGGGCCTGCACTGAGCTCTTTCCTGTGTTCTCCAGCTCCAAATGAAATGATTTTCAACCACCTATTCTGGGGATTCTACTAGCTGAGCCTCAAGTGTAAGATACACAGAATTCATCTAATAATCCTGCAGTGATCTTAATGTCTGTCTCTGTAATAATAGGAAGAGCCCAGCTTTGTTTACTTTCTGAGGAGAATGGAGAACAGAGGACAACTAGAATGGGAGGCAGTATTTATGGACTCTTTATGAGAAGTCGGTCTGTGACAAAAACACTCCCAAACAATAAGGAAGGGGAACAGGTTTGGCAGGAATATAACCTATTCCTGTTCTTGCCAAAGCGTTGTAGCTGGCATCTTCCACCACTGCCCAATGCGAAGTGCTTGAATTACACTGTGAATATAGTAGTCATTCTCTACAGACAAATCTAGATGAGATAAAAATGGGGGGGGGAATCCAGACACCATTCAGTGTCTGGCTCTCATAATTAGCATTATCCTACTATTTATTTCATTGTATAAAGTACTTACAAGTGTTGTTGAACTCTCAAGTCCCTTCTTTACTGCATTATTAATCCCGGGGCTTGTCCTGAAGCCTTTTGGACATACAGCTCTGTGTTGAATGAGTATAATTGACAGCCTGCATGCACCCTATTATTAAAGGGGAAGGTGAGGGCCTATCTCTTAAGCTTTCAGAAAAAGATGATGTCATAAAGAACAGCCATGAACTCCAGAAACCATCCTAGAGGGGCCCTGTTCAGGACAAGATCTTAAAAAATATGAATGTGTTGAGAATTTACACAATAGATTTTAATTACATTCACCCACAAACCCTTTCCCCAAACTCCTGCCAGACTCGCTGCCACTTCGTTACCACCCTCCTAACTTCACTCAGGAGAGAATCCTAAACTGAGTGGACTATACATTATTAACTCCTAAACTACAGAATCATGTTCAACACTCTTAGATTGTCTCACTGCTCTTTGTTGGTTCCCAGTTAATGTTTCTATTCCATTATCTATAGCCCCTGTACAGGTGTAACCACACCAGAGGGGATTTTTACAGTGTGTGAGCCATTCTGTGTACAGATAGGATGCCTAAGCTATTTTCCTGTACCTAGCATGATGCCATACATTAAAAGCTAGTAGCAAAAGCTGCTCTTTTGTGTAGCCAGAGCAGACAGTGGCTCACATAATGATATTTAACAAGCATCCCTAAGGGTGCTATTTAAATAGCTACTTTGCTGGATCGCTATGGGATTTCCACTTACTTTACTTATGCATGGTAGTGCTAGCACTTCTTCCTCAAGGCACAGGTTAACTTCTGAGTGCTAACTTCAGAAAGCTACTTTGGAACTTTGCATCATAGCCCACTTCTTGGGCTATGATATTGCTCCCTGGTATAAAACACTTGCCTAGCATTTGCCCCAGCACCCAAAGAAAGAAAACTCACCTGTTATCCAAAGGCCAGAGTGCATCTTCCCCTACTAACACAATGGTGGATTATTTTATGAGGCCTGCTGCTACCACTTCAAAAGAACAGAGCAAGTAATAAAAAGAACTGGTTTCCAGAATGGCCTATGAAAGGTTGAAAGTGTGCTATGCTTAGGCGAGGCTGGCCAGGATGATAAATTTCCCAGGGATCAGGAAAAGAGATTCTAACATGAAAGAGCAAAGGGATAAACTACAACTTTGCTTTTTTCCTTATTACTTTCTCTGTACTTAATAGTCTTTTGATTAGAACAAATGCAAGGACAGTTTTATTTTTTAATCATATTTTATTCACTATTATCTGTTACTCCCCTGTTAATCATGCAAATTCTAAACTGAGGGATCCCTCATCCCATTTTCTGCTTACAATCCTCTCTTGTCCCCTCAACACTGTAGATTTCTTACACTGTAATCTGACAGCATAATCAGAAGCATTGATAAAAATGGAACGCAGAGGGATTCCGATTGGCTGAAAACTACTCAGAAATAATAACTTTCTACTTTGTTTTTTCCTTCTCGGAAAGGGTGAGACCGTAGAGAAAAAGAACAAAATAAAAAGACATTGACAGAGCCATGACTTGCGAAATCTGGAAAAGAAGCCAAAAGCGTGGTGTCAGTTCAACCTGACATTTTATAGGTAAGGACACTGTCAGGGTCCTAACCTACTTACCCTCATGCAAGCACTTATTTCATAGAAGAGGCAAGTCAGGAATTCAGTTTTCCAATGCTTCTTCTCTTTCTTTTATGCTTCTCCCTACACCCACAACATCCCATTCTATAGTTTCACATGTGAGTTTAACCAGTACCCCATGGACTCTACCTAGATTAGTGCCCAGCAGGGATTTTATTACTAGCATATGTTCATCATTTAAGTATGTTCGCTATACTAGAAGAAGCCAAAAAGTTTAAGAATATCAATCAGTTGGGTGATGTAGGATTACTTATTGCCTTAGGAGATATTCTTTGGTCTTAAACAGGAACCACGGACTGGGATCATGATAAAATTATTTTATCATTTAAAACAAAACAAACATGATCTCTGATACTTATCTGTCATACAAGTAAGATTAAGAGTGGATTATAAAACTCTATATAGAATCAGGAAAAAATTACCCAATCACTGCCCATGACAAATCCTCTATTTTATTGGTCTGTATTTAGATTTTAAGTATTATTATCAGTTATTCTATAAACCCACACAAAGCAAAATGATAGATGTGGAGTTCTGTATATGCTTTTAAGAGAAAGAAGAAAGAATAACACCTTTCTTTTATTCTACTGTGCCAAGGAACACTGAACTCCCCTTCTAAGCGCTTTTAATATTCAATGCTGATAATAGTTATAAACCTCATACTTATACAGAATTACACAGTTCATAATTCACAGACAATTTAATCATAGGCATTATTTGTTGACTACAAAAAGACTAGGTAGGGGAATCAAAAATAAGTGAAAAGATAATGAGTGAGGATATAGCTAGGCCCAGGGCTGTGGGATGAAGAAAAAATAAGCTAGAAAGGGAGGAAGCAGTGATGATCAGAACGTCGTATTGAATGAACATAGCCCCATCCTAAGGATTCATGATCCCAAATTGACCAGTAATGATTGATTTTTTAAGTGATAACATCCATTTTGATGAGGAATCACTTTCTATATGATTCTTGTACCATCAACTATGTGGAAAGAAGGGAGTTACTCTTCATCTGTTGTTCCCCATAAACCATCACCATCACCTAGTTCTAAAAATCATCCATATCAGTGACCTTTCTTTGAATAAAATTCCTAAAGGCATGAGATCATCTATACTACCAGTCCTTGGGCCCAAATGACTGGGCTACAGGCTGGCAAAATTGAAGTTCCTCCAAAGACGATCCAGTTCAGATCCAACGAAAGAATTACAAATATTACCGTTACCTACCTCAACCTGCTGGCAGATCTGTATTAGTTTGGCCATTTGATTTTCTAGTTCGCTGTTGCGCTTAACCAGGTTGGTGAGGTTCATCTCCAGAGTTTGCTGCCATCACAGAGGGTATGAAGCCAGCGGGAAACAGGAGAAAGGGGAAAAAAGAACAATGAACTTGAGAACCAATGTAATATGAAAATCAATAAGCCAAAAGACAGAGTTCCCTGCCTCTTTGAGGGGGGGGTCATGAAGGTGAGACAGAGCCTCACTCTATAACCCATGTTTGCTTCATACTTACAATGACTCTCCTGCATCAGCCCATAAAGTCCTAGGACTGTAGGCGTGCACTTCTCCATGGATATAGAACTGCAGGCCTTACACATGCTAAGAAAGTGCTGTACTACTGAGCAACACACCACCAGCTCAGTAGATTCATATCTTTCAGATTACCAGGTCTGCTACAGACTAAGAATTGTAAATGTTCCCTGATTGGGGAGGAGGTAGAATTCATGACTTTGTAGGCTACTGTAGGAATTCACTGACATTAAGGCAACCTATAGATTTATAATTTTATATTATCTTTAACTTTTCAAACCATTTCATAGCCATTTCCTTTTGCTCTCTAATCAGGTCCAGTTAACATAAGAAAATAAGGTGGTGATATCACCATTTTATTCATAGACTAAGAAAACTATAATTTGTGTGTGTGTGTGTGTGTGTGTGTGTGTGTGTGTGTGCAGGAGAGGTGCATGCTTGTGTGCGAGGGCACATACATGTGTTGTGTACACGCTTGTGAAGACCATGGGCCAACTTGGGATTTTGTTCATCAGGGGCCATCCATGTTGCCTTTTAAGAAAGAAGACTCATTTTCCTGGTGCTCACCAATCAGGCTGGCTAGTCAGGGAACCCCAGAAATCTGCCGGTCTCTGCCTCCTCAGCACTGGGGTTACAAGTCCACACCACCCTACCCAGATTTTCTCCATGGGTCCTGGGGATCATATTCAAGTCTTCATGTTTGCACAGCAAGCAGTTTACCAACTGAATTGTTTCCCTGGCCTCATAATTGAATGAATGATTGCTTCTTGCCAGACAATTTCGTATGTATTGGTACTATAGCACTCTCACAAAGAAGGATATGGTAGCATTTTAATGAGGAAAAAAGTGGATGAGGGTAAAGTGTTTCATAGCTATAAACCAAGGGTGTAGCAAAGCTAGGACTGAAAACTGGATTTCTAATCAGTACACGGTGTTGAATCAAGATTCTATAATGTTTGGCATTTTTGTTTTTAACATTATGTACTTATTGGGAGGCCTCTTCAAGAAAACTATGGTGTGCTTTAAATGTGACAGTCACCAAAATCAAACGTTTTTATCTCACAGTTTTCTTTCCATAGACACAAAGAGTTTAAGACACAAAGCCTGATTCTGTCTGGAAAGTATCTACTGTTTACCCTCACTCACTGGTACACAGCTCTATGTAGGTTCATGTGAGATTCACCTTGCAGATATTTTGAACATAACACAGTAGTACCAGTACTTAAACTCTAACATATTTCCAGTTGAGCAAGCTACTATCTTCCATCCATTGTGTGAAAACTAAACTATTATGTCTCTCTGTATTGAGCTTGGACATTCATTCTTCCCTAGCTCCAAATTTTAGCTTTGATAGCTGCTTCCCCCCCAGAACCAGTCTCAGTATATACTACTCCTTTATACACCATCTCAATACTCCATCAAATCTGTCCCAAATATAATACCCCAATTTCCTGACCCTCATTCTGTTAGTATTCTTTCCCTGGGTCATGCTCATTGTTTTGTTGCTGTCTCCATGGTGGCTATGATTTATAGCTGTTCAAAGTTCATGCTATTGAAAGAGAGGATGAGAAGGACACTGAAGAGTAAAGGGATGTAGACAAAGAGAGGGTGCTCGTGTTCTTGGATCTTTTTCTGTCTAGGAAGTAGCTGTGACTCATTAAAAACCTTGGCACTGTTTTCTGAATGTGTCACAAAGGATATATTCATAAAGATGTATGTATAGCTAGGCTGCCTAATCTGATTTCACTTGTTCTCAGACGGAATTTTGAGGACCAGCTTTACTCTGGTTTCCCTTCATGTCAGAATATGATGGCTGAAATGTGAAATAGTCTCCATAGACTCAGGGATTTGAATACTTTGGTGCTGTTTGTAGGGTATAGGAAGTGCAGTCTTGATGAAAGAAGTATATTATTGGGGGGTGGGCTCTGAAAGTTCATAGCCCTGCCCCACGTCTAGTTCATTTTCTTTGCTTCTTTTCAACAGATGAAAGAATCATATCTCAGCTTCCTACTCCTGTCGTTATGCTCACTGCTTGCTTCCATGCTTCTCCACCATAATGGACAGTTACCCCTCTGGAACTGTAAACCAAAAGAAACTCTTTCTTCTGTAAGTTTGCTTTGGTCTTGGTGCTTTATCATAACAACAGAAAGGCCACAGTACATCTTTCTTGGTTTCCTTAGCTTTAGTTCCATGGAAGTCACTTATGCTACCTCTGCTTTCCTTCTTTATTTCTTGAGGGGTCTCTCTCAGCTTTCTTTAATTCTGCTATTATCTAAATCTGTGTTCTTAATAGGAAGAAGTGGGGAAAAGGACAAGGGAAAGGCAGCAATCACTGAATTAGACATCATCACTAAATAAATTAGGTGTCAAAGGGAAAAAGAAGAAATGACAGTTCAGAGATTTACCACAACAAAGACATATTGAGCATCTACTGTGGTCAGGGTACAGTGATGAATCTTGAAGGATAGGCGGGATTTTAACAGACAGAGGTGGCGGAAGACGGGGCATTTCAGGCATAAGGAATACGATGAGGAAAAATCAAAATAAAGCAACCAGAGTGGCAGCATACATCTGTAGCCAAAGCTACTCAGATAGCCGAGGCAGGGTGGAGAGTTGAGCTTAGGAGTTTGAGCTGCTGTTCAGTTACTATGTACTGAACAATATACTAAGACTCTTTTTCTCAAGAAAAAATAATATTGTCAGGGACCAATAAACAGTTTAGTTTGACTAGAACACAGGGTACAAGGATGAAAATGGAGATCATCCCTGTTTTGCTGGGTGTGGTTGTACACACCATTAGTCCAAGCAATTGGAAAACAAAGAATGCAGATCTCTGTGTGTTCCAGGCTAGCCAGGGCTATAGAGCAAATTCCAGGACAACCAATGCTACATAATGAGGGCCCATCTGGGGGAGTGGAATAAAGTCCTGCTTTGAGGGTCTTGAATGTACAAATGGGTTTATACCTATTTGTTTTAGTACTGGGGTTTACACAGGGCTGTTGAATAAGGAAATGACATAATCATGGCTACATTTAGGATATTAACCTAGCAGCAATATGGGGAACAGAGCAAAACAGGAAAGCCTGGGAGGCAGGGACAGTGGTTATGAAGATACCACAATATTCAAGGCAGTTGCAAATGCAGGTCTGGGCCAAGCTCAGAGGATAATCAGGAGAATCATGTTTCAGGAAAAGATTCATCACTGTCAAACGTGCAAACACCAAGAGAAATGTGAGAATTTATTTTTAAAGGTGGGGGTGGGCTAGATTGGGGAATCAGAAGTCACAAGTAACCTTTGTAAAAGGAGTTTCAGTAGGGCTTTGGAAGTAGATACTAAAGCATTCAGGGTTAGAGTACATCAGCTGGCTGCAAGCCTAGATTTCTCTCCCAAAGTTCGGCCATAGAGGGAATAGAATAGATTTCAGTTTGATCAAAGAGTCTAGTGTAAACCAGAAAGGGGAAATTACTAATGGAGCCAACCAGTCAAACATTTCCTCTTGAAGAGTAGTTCACAGTCCCAGATCAATGGAAATCCCACGTATCAAAAATCATTATATTGACCTATTTGATAAATAGCCCATTTGATTGATAAACCCAGAGAAGAAAAAAAAAGATTTAAAATTCTTTGTTTCCCACTGCAATATGTTTCCATTCAAACATGTGATTCTACTGGGAGAATTTTTTTTAACAAGTACATGAGACCTGTTGTAACACTGGCCTAAAATTGATATATCATAAATAATTCATACTGCAGAGCAGGATGGCGATCCCTGCTGTGCGTTCCTCATTTATGGCCCTGGACTGAGAGTCATGGCTTGTATAAAGCTACGGAAAACAAAAATTAGGGCTGAACACATAATTTAGGGTCTGGTTAGACTACAGGCCTTGGGTTACCATCACAAAATTATGGCAAATGGTTGGTTTGCTCTAGCCCCATAGCAATTTGCAGAATGCCAGTCCGTTCTAGCAGCACAGTTCCAGAGCTGACAAGATGACTCTAATTTCAACCTTGCTTCATTAATATGAAAAATGCTTTGAAAAATAAATCTTTGACTAATGAAAACACCATATGTTGATGGCTTCTTGCCACTGTTTTCTTATATTATGAGACATAATTTAGGGAGGGGGAACACTGAACATTGACTTACTTCCTATTTATTTGTAAGGAATTAAAGATTCCTTTCAAGTTGGAATTGATCCTCAATAATGGACATATGCGAAGGGAAGCAGCGAACTGAAGCAATTATGCAGCCTCTCTCCTCACCCCTTCCCAAATGCCCAGCGCTCACAAATCATTTAGAACTAACATTTCTGGGCCACTCTAGGTCTGAATGACTTGGAGTGATTTGGCCATGTCTATATTGGTCTTGTCTATACCATGTCTGAGTAAACAAAGTTGATTTGTGTGTGTGTGTGTGTGTGTGTGTGTGTGTGTGTACATACACAAACTCTTTTCATGTCAAAATAAACATGTCTCTTTGTTATTGTAATTGGGTTTTGAAGAATCGCTTTGTTTTGCTCCTTTCTATGTATCCCATTTAATGAGTGGGCTAGGTTCCCTCTGTCTAAGTCCAACTAGTACAACTTTCTCCAAACAGTCGAGCCATGACAGCGAGGGAGCCAAAGTGGCAGGGGAGATTGGAATGGAGATATCTGCTGGGAGGAAACAGAGACAGGAGGTTGGCAGAGAGAGCAGGATGAAGTTCCCATTTCCTGCTGCAGGAGGTTACCTCTGAGTCTCTTTGCGCTTCCCTTTTGTGAGGGTGAGAAGCCATTTTAGTTAGGAAACTCTGAGG